CAGGCTCCCAAGTAGCTAGGATGGCAGGTGTGAGCCACGGGCTCCCAGCTAGTGTCATTTTTGTATTGTAGTTTTAAAATTCCTGGTTTTCTATAGGTTCACTTCCTATAGGGTTATTTCTGAAGTAGTTTGCTTTTTTTGGGGGGGTGGGTACTGGGGCTTAAACTCAAGGCCTACACCTTGAGATAGAGATGACTCTCAAACTATTTGCCTGGGTTGGCCTCAAACCGCAATCCTCCTGATCTTAATCTCCCAACTAGCTAGGATTACAGGAGAGAGCCAATGGTACCTGGCTGATCTATCTTTTCTATTTTCTCAGTTATGACTCTAGTCAACCCAACTGGCTGATTTTCAGTGAGGAGGTAATTCCTGAGAAATGGAAACAGTTTAACAGAAGCATAATCATCCATAAATATAAAGCTTGAAAACTTAATGAAGTACTAAAGACAAATGCTATTGTTTTGTAAATTCGCTAGGTATATGGAAGTTTGTTATGTGGCCCAGGCTGGTCTTCAACTTGTGATCCTTCCACCATAGCCTACAGAGGGCTGGGATGTGAGCTGCCACACTAAACTGGGGTCCTATGCTTCAAGACTTTCAAAAACTTCTAGTTTAAAGACCCACACTCACTCACATTTCATGGAAAATAGGAACGATCATGGAGATAGAACCATGACACTGTCTTTAGCTCCTGGACATATTTGTAATGTTCCAGAGCTCAACAGACCAGACTCCAGGCAAATCACGCAGTGCCTGGCATATTCATCAGCTTTCCCTACCTTAAAATACTGTCTCTGAGTCCATTTTTCCACTCAGTATTTAAGAGTCTTCTATGAAAAACCAGGATGGGGGATGTGCATGTCTTCTTTAAGAGGCTTATAATTTATGGAGAAAAGAGAAACACATACAACTAAGTGCCAGTGGAAGCTTTAACACTGCGACAAGGCAGTGCAAAGGAAGGGCTCATCTATATGGGGACCAGGGAGGGATTCTGGGAAGGGGTGCCCAAACTGAAGTCTTAAAGAATGAGTAGGAAAGAGAAAGCATTACAGGCTAAGGGAAGAGGCTGCATATGGTAATGATAGTTGAGAACACAGTAAAGTCAAAGACCAGACCTGTGTGGCTGGACCATTTGTTTCCAGAGGGTATATAGGGTTATGAAGTCAAAGGTTGGTTGATTTCAGATTAGCTCTAGGCAAGCAGTCACTAGCTTGCCTAGAAGACTTTCTCTGATGACTGAAGGATGAGTGTAAAAGGCATATATATATAGTTATTGTAGTTACACAAATAGTCAAGTATTGAGTTTGGACTCTGATTAATAGGGCTAGAAAGGGGAAGGAGGCTATGAGGCAATACAAAGAATAATGTCTTACAATTTGTTGAAATGAACGAAGTTGCTGAAAATGACCACTACATAATGATGCCATTAAGTCAAAGGACATGAGAATCGATGTGTGGGGAAGTAAGTTATTTAGCTAGAATTTAGTTTTGAGGTGCTGTGGGGTGGTGGGGGGATGGAATCTATATGGCAATGTTCATCAGTTGGAAATTTAGGACTGGCTCTTGCAAGACATCTTGACTATAAGTGTGGACTTAGGATAAATATACACATAAGTGATATTACCCTCACATAAAGACATTTATACTTTAAAAAAACTCAACATTAGTTCGTTATTTTCAAAATGGAAACCCTGCTAAAGAGAACTTTTAACTCAGGATTCTGTTTCTGTGTCACTGCCTAATAGTGCCTTGACCTCTAGTAGTTACACTGTGTAGAGGGAACAGGGCAGGCTTCATCCTAAAGCCCACAGGTTGACTGTTGGAACAGCACTTCCCAGGCACCTTACCACAAATCTGAGCTTCAGATCTGTAAAGTGACCCCTGTAACTGCAGGATAGGACTTTGCAGATCCAATGCATGTGAGAGTATTGAAACAATTATTAGCACAAGAGTGGGATTCAGCCTAGTGCACTGCCCAGCAGAGTAGAAATGGAGAACACGTGTAACTTATGTGGACTCTCCCTTGTACAAAAGAGCAGCTCAGGTAGGTCTGTGTCTGCTCACACTGCCTGTCACACTGTGTATATTGTACCAGCTCATAAAAGATGAAGACATTTATAGCCTAGGGATTTTTTTCTTCATTCTATGCCATAGAAACTCGGAACATGGCAATGGGAAGATCTGATGGGATAGGAGTTATTACTGTTTTTTTTGTGTGTGTGTGATACTGAGAGTTGAACTCAGGACCTTGTACCTGCTACGGAGGTATCCTATCACTTGAACCACAACACAAGCCCTTTTTGCTTTGGTTATTTTTTGAATAGGATCTCACAATTATGCCCAGGCTGGCCTGGACTGATACCCTATTTATGCTTCCTGTGTAGTAGGATGACAGGTACTGCCACTACACACAGCTTTTATTGGTTGAGATGGAGTCTTAAGAACTATTTGCCTTGGCTAGCCCAGAACTGCCCCCATGCCCAAATATTTTCAACATTTTTGACTTTTTTTTTTTTTTTTAAAGAGACAGGGTCTATGTAGCCCAGGCTGGTCTTGAACTTGTCATCCTCCTGCTCTGCCTCCCAAGTGCTGGGATTGTATGTATGTGCCACCACACCCAGCCTAATTCCTTTTTTTGTCAAGTCAATGTCCCTCCTAGCTATGGATACCTGTGAGTCACTTGCTACTGCTGTTTGTATGACCTACTAGAGTTCTGAGACAAGCACAAACAATTACACCAGACACAAACTTCAGCACACAGGAGGGTCTTTGTCTACAGAAGGATTGAGAGCCACAAAAAAGTGCTTCCAACTGTGATCCCAGAAACTTAACATCTTAGGAAGAATTATAGACTCTACAATAACTCTGCTTCATGAAAAAGATCCTGTCAGCCACTTTCACCCTCCCTCTTTCCCCTGCTGCTGTTAGGGATCAAACCAGGGTCTCACACATGCTAGACAAGTGTTCTACCACTCAGCTACACTACCAGCACTGTCAGCCATTCTTATACCTGCCCCAAAAGTAACCCCCATCTTCTAAACTTTTTTTAAACTAAAGGGACAACATGGTTTCACTCAGCTCCTTCTTCATCTGTTTAGATATGCAGATAGAATGCCTCCCTAAACTGTAATGAGATACTCTGCTGACCATATGCCAAGGATCACTCCATTTAGTTAAGGGCCCCATCAAGGGGCAGGTTCTGACTGCCTCCAGAAATGGGGCTGGGGTTCTCTCTTCTCCACTTTGGACCTCCTGCCCTTCTTTTCAAAGCCGCGTTTAAGCTGAGGTCATGCAATGAGATTGAAGTTTGCAGACTCCAACTGTCCTAAATCACCATCTAGGATAGTGATCCACAATTTTGAATGAGAATACATGGCTTCGACTCCTCCCACAGATGTGGTGCTGGTGTCATAGGCTTGAAGAGCTTGTGTTTCTCTTTACAGCACTGTCAAAGGTGTGCAGAGGACTAAATGATAATGGACTGAAGAGCACTTTAGAATTTGTTACAGTACAAATTTATTTTCTCTGAATATTTTTAACATTGTCACCAGCTACTACTGAATAGAACCAGAAGGCTGTGCTTCTGTTTGGAGAGGGCTAGTTATGTACCAGTTATTAGCTGGTATAATTTCCAAACGACACTCCCAAAGCCCAGTGCATGTTCCTTTTGCAGACAAAGGCTGACTTGAGCTACTCTGCAGCCCACCAGCTGAACAGAACTGTAATGACGTGTTTATGAGAGCTCAGAACACTAGTTCACAATTTAAAAAGTCACCTCTGGGCTCATTCCTGTCTCCAGGCCTTCACCTGAGCAACTAGCTTCTCAGAACACTCCTTCTACTCTTCACTGAGCTACTTCTGCACCAGGCTGCAAACCTCACCTCAGATGCCATCTCTTCTGTGAGGAAACCTTCCTTGTCCTCAGCAAGGTCTTGCTCACAAAGCAGCTCAGACTGGTGGAGTGGTACATGTGGTAGAGTGCCTGCCTAGAAAGCATGAGGCCCTGAATTCAAACTCTAGTACAGACAAAAAAAAAAAAAAAAAAAAAGCAGTTCAGAACTCTCCTTTGGTTCACTTAACCCAATCCCAAATGTAACACCTCCACCTCAAATAAATGTAAGTTACACACGGGCAGGGGCCATTTCTGTCCCTAGAGCCTTGGATAAAGAATAAAATGTGTTGAATGAGGACAGAGTTTTGTGTTTTTCAATCTTGTTAAGAGTTCTAGTGGAGTTGGGCACTGGTGGCTCACACCAATAACCTTAGTTACTTGGAAGGTGGAGATTGGGAGGACTGCGGTTCAAGGCCAGCCCAGGCAAACAGTTTGTAAGACCCCATCTCCGAAGAAACCAGAGAAAAATGGACTGGAGGTGTAGCTCAAGGGGTAGAATGCTGATTTTGCAAGTGTGAGTGTGTAGCCCTGAGTTCAAACCCCAGTCCGACCAAAAATAAAAAAGGAAGTGCAATTTGGTGCTGGCAGAAAGGATTCTACATGGAGAATGTTGCCTTTAGCTTTTGTTTTATAAAAGGAATTGATGGGCTTAATTAAACCATCAACACCTTCAGAGGCACAGGAATGGCTGAGGGTCAAATTGGTCTGTATTATTTATTCACTGTGTTCAAGTGCAGGTGCTATTCTGGAAGATCAGTTCATGTCAGCATCAACATCTGCAAAACTGCCATTGGAGCAGACAATTGTCCTTTCCTTCTCTTTGTCAGGGCCTAAGAGACAGTTTCTAAGATCATTAGGAATGGAATTTATCTTAGGCAAAACCATAAAGGGGATTTCCTTGTTCCAATCTCCTTTCCTCCTCAATTGTTTCATTTGTTATTCTCCACTCCCACCCACCTTAGGATAACTTTCCACATTCTGCCTCTTCTCAACTGTGGGAGGGAGGTGTTGTTTCTCCATAAATATGATTCCAAACAACAGCCACCAAGACTGCATGAATGTGTGAGAAACACATCCTCACCTGTACTCTACATTTACATTTGCTTGCTGGTCCCACTTTGTTGGTGGATTTCATCTGCTTTAAAAAACAAACAAAACAAGAAAGAGGGCCTAACTTCTGTAAGATGCATTATTACAATGAAGGAGTATCCTTTTGTAAAATTCAACATCTCTATCAGTAAATATTGGCATGTAAAGAAGTAAGGACTGAGAAAGACACGTTTTATCTCCTGGACCCAGAGACAGGGTGAGAGTGACCACATTAGCATTTTCAACTCCTCCTCCCCCCATGACGACTTCACTTTGACCTTCTCAAAATTCACTGGGCTAATTCATATTAGGGTGACATCAAGGATCTTTGGCTTTAGGGATCCTTCTTTTACTATCCTTTAATTACTTGTTAGTCATTCTGGACTTTGGTTAATTCCTGCAGACTGTAGATTTCATTTCTTCCCTGTAAATGAAGAGGCAACCCATGAGGTTGTTAAACAAATTCTATTCAGTAGCTGGAAAAGTGAATTTCCTGTGGAATGACAGGAATTACATAGAAGCAAGCAATTTTATTTTCCTCAAATGTAGCAATAAGTTTAATCTGTACATACATAAAACAAACAGTGCAATTATAAAACCTTGAAGGTGACATGCATACTTTAAGGTGCAGTTGGGATGGGGGAGGATGTTAGCATCTCCAATTTTCCTTACTGCTTTTTTTTCCTAGTTCCTTATGCAAAAGCACTGAGTCAGGAAACTTCATCTGGAATGCTGAAGTTAAAGGTGAACTTCCTGAAGTCTGCACATCTAAATATCACAAAATGGAAATGACCTCATAGAGCAGTTTGGTAGGGATTAGAGTAATATGGCTGGGTTTTCAAGCTGGAAATGAATGAAATCAGAAATGCATTTTCTGAAAAACTAAAAGAGATTAATGTTTGTAACTGAGTGTCCTATTTCTGTTTCATAGTTGCTACCCACATGAGCCCTTCCACCAATTTTTTTATTGGGTGTAGTCTGAATAGATGCTGTTCAACGGAGTTATTTGTAACTAGGGGTGGTGAGATGCAGAAAGAAGGACCTGGGAAAATGGCTTCTTCCTTGAAGTCTGAGTCCATGCTCCTTGTCCACGTTGGTTCTTGTGGCCTTTTCTCTGCCACGTAAGCAGACATAGCTGGTGCAGAATGTCAATGTTGTCATCGTTCGCAGGCCTGGGGGTGCAGACCAAGGAGAATGATGGGGGAGGGGGTCTGTCTTTACTTCTTCCACAATGCCTTTCTCAGGTTTCCTGGCCTGTAGTGGAACTTTTAGAACTAGAAAGTCAGTTCACTGGCTCCTTTCTCAGAGATCAGATTGAGATGGGATGTGGCAGAGTGACAAGACACAAAGGGAAAAACATGGTACCAATTAGCCGCTAAGCAGGAAAGAGAAACTGTTATTTGCACTGATGGAAATTCAAATTCCCAAAGTTAGTCTAAGAAAAAAAGCAGATTTTCTTTGAGCACTAACTTCCCTCTGTACAAGCAGCCGGTGCACTTCTGGTCAGGTGATCCCACATGCTCTGGCTCAGCTCAGCTGCAATGGCTTTTTCTGGCAGTGCCACTTTGATATGAGCCCCAAAGCAAATCCATCATGGCGTCACAGTTACTAAAATAATGAAATATTACTAGCCAAATGTAACTGTAATTCAATGTTATATTTAACACACAAGTTTAGAAAAATCAAGAATATGATAATAAAGCATAAAATTAAACAGAAGGAAATAATTTTCTACAAGAAATCAAATATATTTACAGTGAGATTTAAGGAAAAATAAGCTACTTGGGTCATAAATTTAATTTTATTTTAAATAACTTTAGCTACCTCAGCTGTTAACACAATAAAAGCAGAAAGAACAGGCTACCTTTTCTCCCCAGATTTAATCAGAAAATTGTATCTACAATAATTGACAGAACTCACTTCTTGTCTTTCACCCATCTCATCAAAAATTATTGCATTTTTCCCCAAACTGTATTTTTTGGATTCCTCAGTGAATATACTTATTCCATCCTCTTTTCTGGAGGCATCTTGATTTAAATCCATCTTTAAAAAAAAGGAAAAGGGACATGGATGTAGAGGCAAAGTATTCTCTTGAAGCCAAAAGACAAAGAGTTGCTTGAAGAAGCTGATTGTACACACGAGCTTCCTAGGGTCAGGGTAGGGAAGGGCTGTTGGTTTTGAGGAACGTGACAGCCTTTGGTGGATGGATATAGGCAAAGTCCCTAGGGCCCTCTTCCTGGGCAGGGTCAGGCTGGTACCGAGAGGCGGAGTTTGTCTTCCCCTTGGAACTTGTCATTTTAGTTCTCCTCCAAAAGCCTTCATCCAGGTAAGAAGCCAATGACTGATTATAAAAATAAGAATAATTAAATTTGGCTCAAGAAATAGATTGTCCAACTGTTCTGCCTTTTTTTCCAATATCCAAGGCCTTTACAAAGAAAGAAACAAAAACACCTCTCAATCTCCCAACAAAAGTGAACTTTTTTTTTTTTGCTCCAAATGCTACGACCTGAAGAATGGCTGCAGATTGAGATATCAAAAATCTCAGAAAAATATATAATATATTTGTATATCTCTGTATGTCTATTATTTAAATTTCACATTCCTTTAAAAGTGGTTATTCAGTCAGTAGCTGCTGAAGGAGGCTCTTCTGCTGGGCCTGGGGGGTCTGTGGTCCTGACGTGGGTTTTTGAGTCCCCAGTGGACCAGGCTGGTTCAGGTAAGGGTCCCCGCCTACCAGATTCACTGTACACTGGACGTCAGCAAACACCTGAACCTGTTGCACCTGCTGGAACACAAATAAAAGATGTGTTTAGACAGAAGGGTCTGCCCCCCCGGCTTATGAGTGGGTACTACTTGAAGTGGAAACTCACTAGAGCATTCCTCTAGTCTGTAGTCACCACAGAGAAGAACTCTTCTGTCTTCTTGTCCTACAAAAAGAAAATCGCTGCACTCATTTTGCTCAGGGTTCTGGAAAGTTCACACTTTAAAATAAAATAAAAATTGGAATGGTCACGCCTCCTACAGGGTTGCCATCAATATTGAAAGTGAGCATCGTTGCTAATACTGCCAACGTTGGGAAAAGCCCAGTTTTAAAGTCTGGGTATCCAGTGGTGGGTTTTAAAAAATAACATGTTACTTGGAAAACTAGTTTAAAAGCATTCATGACTTTAGTCAGATGAGAAATCTTTTATGATATTACTGAGAAATTAAGGGCTATAACCCAGTATTTGCAAAATAGAACCACCACAACTTAATACTAGGACATCAGCACTGCTGAGGTTAATGTCCAGAGGATTTCTGTAGTAACTAAACATATTATTACATAGCTCTTTCACATATTGGCTTTAGAATTACAAAATATCAGTAGAACAATTTTATATTTGACTTTTTTTTCTTGATAGACAATCTACTTAAACACACGAGCTGAAATTAACAGTAAATCTACTGGCTGAAAAGAGTGTGAATTTTCCCTTTAATTACTTTTAGTAATAGCATCCATATTTCTTTAAAATGTCTATAAAGTTGCATAGTTCTAGCATTTTCTATTGGGAAAACAAAGCCAAAAGTTAGTCTTTATCAATCAGCCTTATTAAAAAGTTGTCTGTGAAACTGATTAAGGCTAGTGTCACACTTCTGAATGTTCAAGACCAGGAATGGAAATGCCTTCTAAAATATTTAAATGCATCTAAGTGTCCCAAACTTTTGCCTCATGTTTTAATAGGATCATAAAGTATTTTAGATTAGTGACATATTTTTGATTACTTATCATTAATGCATGCCAATTTTCTGAAAAATTCTCTACTCTAAATAGAGTAAGTTGTTTTCCATCAACCTTCATTGGCCAAATGTCAAATGTTCTAACCAACAAATTTCTACATTTACATTCCCAATCTACTTTCTCATAGGTAAGATAGCCCCTGAGTTGAGCATTTTTATTTTATTTTAACTAACTACTTTTTTTTTTTTTTGCAGTACTGGAGTTTGAACTCGGGGCCTTATGCTTGCTAGGAAGGCACTCTACCACTTGAGTCATGCCCCCGGCAAGTTGAGCTTTTCTAGTGCCTGATGAGTTAAATCCCTAGTTAGATTAGGATTGTTTCTCTCCTCATCTTCCTTTTACTCTAGTTTTCCAAATTTTGTTTCTTGTCCCCATATGCTCCCATTTTTCCTACAGGCTCTTTCTCATGTATCTAAAACACCTCACTCTGAATCTCTTCTCCAGCTGCCTCTGTACCTTCTCCACACTGTGGTCATTCCTACTCTTTTCTATTTTCCTCTGGAGCTTCACCCAGGCCTTCCTTTCTAATAGGTCAACAACTCCCCTACCACCAGTCCTCTTTTTGCTTCTCTATTCTGCATGCTTTACCTCTCCTCATCTCAGCTCTCCAACATAGCTGGATCCCAGGACTCTATCTTTTTCTTCTCCCTTTCTTATATCTTTCTCTACATTTTTATCTGATTAATTCCCCAGCTTCTGTTTGACAAACACAGAAACGTAGGAGCAAATAGAGATGTCATGATGGGTTATAACAGAAAGATTCTGCTACTGAAACTTCATGTGAGCACAAGCTATAGTGCTTTTTGGGCACAGATTTTTTTTTTTTTTAATCAACATATAAAGTTTGTTTTTACACATTTCTAAATATGAAATACTGGGGCAGAGTCTAAGATGGTTTTACTTGCAAATATTTTAAAAACATTCTTGATAAAAGAATGACAACACAAACTAAAGAGAAAATTCTGCTTATTTAAAAAGAATACTTTTACAGATATTCTTGAAATAAAAAAACTGAAAAGATTAAATATAACTCTAAAATTCATTTTGGTCATTTGGAATTGTTGCTTTAAAGGACAATGTTTTAGATGACCAGACCTCAAGGACTTCTTACATTGCCGCACTTCCACAAATAGGCAGAGACTGATGCAGAAGAAGCCTAAGGTCTACTGGGGAGAAGAATGGGCTGAGAGCTGAGTACCAGTCTGGAGATTTTCCAACACAATTTTTACTTAAATTAGGCTAGGGCCTTAGAATTTTAAAACCTGGCTGTTTTGCTTTAAATAATTCGTCATGCTGCCCAGACTACATGTCTCTGTGAAAAGTGAGACTTTCAAAAACTTCTAGTGAATGAAGACTGTCTTCATTTCCCCATCATGAAATGCCCTCTCTATCCTAACAGGACTCAGGTATTATTTCCTAAAACTCAGACCTAGATACAGACTCCTAACTGGTTTTCTCCTTCTCCTCCAGCTTAGGATAAGGCCTCCACTGGCAGGTTTATCAGTTCTTCCTTCAGGAATGACTTTGTCTTTAGATTAAGCCCAGATCCCTTAGTTCAATATTCAAGGCATTTAGAAATCTGCCCTCATCTATTGTACCAATTTTAATTGCTCTGAATTCTTATTACAAATACAAACTCTTTACTTTTAGTGCATTTCTTTTCCTATAATTATGCTAAGGTATTATTATTTCCCTGTCTCTGTGTCCTCTACTTCCAAATCCACTCCCAAACCGGCCTCCAACAACCACTACATCTTTCTCCTTCACTTGAGAACTGTCCTTCAGGTCCAGCTTAGTCCATCTGTTGTGTGAATGCTCTCTGACCATCTTAGCAATTTTTCTTTCTTCCTTTCTCCCTTCCATCTTTTTCAGTGCTGGGAATGAAACCCAGAACTTTATGCATGCTAGGCAAGCACTCTACCACTAAGCTACACCCATAGCCCTTCTCCTTTCTTTGAGTCCTATGGTTCTTGTTCCTTGTAACATAAATTTCATAGCTTGCTTTATTTGGTTACATGGACAACTTATGGGCATATATCTATATGTCTTATCTTTAACAGATCCTAAGTGGTAGGGAGAAACAGCATGGACTTTGGTATTAGAAAGATCTGGGTCTGAACCTCTATTCCTCTTTCTGGCATTGTGAATGGCACATGTAGTTAATTGTCCCAGGTTCAATTTCTTCATCTGTGAAGAAAAGGACTACTACCTCCTTCATAGGGTTATGGTGAGGCTTAAATTTTCCTTTCTTTTTTCCTCCTCAACTCACAGTTCACCCAAAGGACAAAGAACGTGTGCATGTAAATAAATAAATAAATAAACAGATAGATAGATAGATTTCCATTTGTAGTATAATGCCTATGTAAAAAAAAATTAAGAGACTAAGGACTAAACTAGTTACCAATATAAATTAAAACCTCCAAAATTCCAGCTTTGGGTTAACAGAGGAAGGTGGGCACCTTGCTGTTTGTGCTGTTCAGAAACATACTTCTAAGGAGGCAGAACACACACTAGACACTTTTTGTCTTGAGAAAATCTTTCAAGGTGTTTTGACTATAGATTAGTTTTAGCCCTTTTCCTTGCATTGTTGAAATGGAATGTAGTTAATTGTCCACAGGTTCATTCTTCATCTGTGACGAAAAAGGACTACTACTCCTTCAATAGGGTTATGGTGAGGCTTAAATTTTCCTTTCTTTTTTCCTCCTCACTCACAGTTCACCCAAAGGGACAAAGAACTGTGCATGTAAATAAATAAATACATAACAGATAGATAAGATAGATTTCCACCTTTGTAGTATAATGCCTTGTTAAAAAAAAATTAAGAGACTAAGGACTAAACTAGTTACCAATATAAATTAAAACCTCCAAAATTCCAGCTTTGGGTTAACAGAGGAAGGTGGGCACCTTGCTGTTTGTGCTGTTCAGAAACATACTTCTAAGGAGGCAGAACACACACTAGACACTATTTTGTCTTGAGAAAATCTTTCAAGGTGTTTTGACTATAGATTAGTTTTAGCCCTGTGTTTACTTACAAAAATGACAACTATTGGCCACCTTTATGACTCTGTTCATTCTAACCAAGAACTGAATTAAATCTTCTGACAGTTTATCCATTTAACCCTCTCAACAATCCTGTAAGCAGATATCCTGCTAGTTCTGTGATCATGGCCGCTCAGGAGTTTGTGACACAGCTAAGAGAGTAGAGCCAGGACTCACAGCCAGTTCTTACTCTCAAGGCCAGGCTCTTTAACCATGGCACTGTGCAATGTCTTCCATGTACCTAGAGTACACTGGGCGGCTCTATGCTTAGAATTTTCTTACTGACCTGGGTTCCATCTGGTTCTGTTTTGAGAAGGTCAGTGGATGACAGCTGGTTGCAGTAGAGGCCTGCATGTCTCAGTGCTGGATCGTTTATCTATTAAAGATAAAAATGACCAAATTACAGGGTAGTTGTTTAAGTTGAAGACCAAAATCTTCAATGAAAAACAATCTGACTGACAGAAAAGTAATTTACTGCATTGTTGTAAGTTCAGATAGTTTCCCCAGTGGGGGTGGAAAGTGTGTGAGGAACACAAAGAGAGCTTCTGGGGTGTTGATGACATTCTGCTTCTTGATTAGGTGGTAGTTATTAAGGTCTACTCACTGTGTTGACATCTGTTCAATGTTGTACACTTTTCTGTATATTATTGTATATATAATACTGCAACAAAGAGCTAATTTTATCTCTGTCAAACACACACATACACATAATTAACAACAGACTTCAGTCAAGATTTAGCAACAAGGATCAGGGTCTAAATCTACTAAAAGATGGACAAAGCATGTGAAACAAAGGCGCTAAAGATACTGGACAAAGGCACTGAGGGACAGGAATCCTAATAATTGGGAAACAACTGAGTCCCTACTGCAGCAATCACCTAGCCTAATGCTTGATGGGATCCTTAGTTTGAGAGGCAGCTGGAATCCACAGGGCAGAAGATGAGAGGAGAAAGGCCTAGAGAGGATGCTCAGGAGACAGGCAGAGACCTTCAAGTCTGTAGCTCAGCCCTGATCAGGTCACAGAAGCAGTCAGGAAGAGTCATCTGAATAGATGACTACCGCATAGGTCTTGATTGCAACAGTCAAGAGTAGGAAACATCATAATTCATGTAGTAACTAGAAGTACAGTAGAATGGATTTCCTTAGTAGTAAGTAAAAATTATCCCTAGAATAAACATTACTTTTGTCCCACATCAAACAAAGAAGCAAGCTGTGAAGGGATCAAACTGTTTCCAAGTAACCTAACCATTTCTCACCACAAGGCTCAAGAGTATTTATAGGAATAAGCTGGGCACCAGAGCATGTAACTCTAGCTACTTGGGAGGCAGAGATGAGGAGGACAGTGGTTTGAGGTCAACTCAGGCAAAAAGTGAGACCCTATTTCAAAAAATACCCTAACATGGAAAAGGGCTAGTGGAGTGGCTCAAGTGGTAGAGTGCCTGCCTAGCAAGCGTGTGGACCTTAGTTCAAACCCCAGTATTGCCAAAAAACCTCAAAACAAAACAAAACAAAAAAAGTATTTATAGGACTATAAACAAGTTAAAATTCACATCTGACATCCAATAAAAAAATTACCAGGCATGTAAAGAAGTAGAAAATGATGACCCATAATGAAAAAGAAGGTCAATCAACTGAAATCAACCCCAAAACAACTCAGATGATAGAACTGATGGGAAGTTATCAGGTCAGTTATAATAACCACATTCTGTATGTTCAAGAAACAAGAGGAAAGACTGAACAAATACAAAAGCTACATTAGAGATATGGAGGCTATGAAAAGGATCCAAATGTAACTTCTAGATATGAAATGGCAATGTCTGAGATGAAAAATACACAGAAAATTATTAACAGATTAAGGCACTGCAAAAAAATTAAGCAATGGTAATAGACACTATCTAAAATGAAGCATGCAGAGAAAAAAAAAATGACTAAACCTCACTCCAACACCAAATTCTTCAACTCCAGCGAATCAGTGAACTATGGATACCTTCAAGTGGTCTACTATATATGCAACTAGAATTTTCAAAGGAGGGGTGTATATGTGACAGAAAACAATGTTTGAAGAAGTAGTGATCAACATTTTCCCAATTTTTTTTCTTTGGTGGGACTGGTTTTTGAACTCAGGGCTTCAAGTTTGCAAAGCAGGCACTTTACTGCTTGAGCCACATCTCTAGTCCATTTTGCTCTGGCTATTATGGGGTCTTACAAACTACTTGCTTAGGCTGGCCTCAAACTATGAACCTTCTGATATCAGCCTCCCAAGTAGCTTAGATTATAGGCATGAGCCATTGAATCCGAAAAATTTTTTAATAGTGAAAGTGATAGCAAAGTTTATTAGGAAAGGAATATACTTCAATAAACTGAAAGCACGTTATCTCTAGAGTGAAAAAAAGAATGACCCATTTTCCCAAATTTGATGAAAACTATACATGCACGAACCGAGAAGCTTGGGAACAAAAACAATGACAACCACATCATAGTACCAAAGTGCATCACAATCAAACTGCCTAACATACTGTAAGGAGAAATATTTAAATTGGCCAGAGAGGGCAAAGTCAGTCACATGCAGAGGAGCATGAGTGAGCTGACAGCAGGCATCTCATCAGAATACTGGGGTCCAGCAACAGCTTTACAAAACCACAGCTGAGACTGCCAGCCAAGAATCAGGGAAAGAAACTCCAAAGACAAAGGTGAAACAAAGACCTTTCAGATATATAAAATTTAAAAGAATAATCAGCAGCAGACCTGCACTATAAAAACATTAAGGAAGACCTTCAGGCAGAAGGAAAATATACCAGATGAAAATCTGAAACTACACAAAGGAATGAAAAAAAAGTGGAAGTGATGATTACATGGGTAAATATAGAAAGCTATTTAAACTTGAAAAATATAACTGTTTAAAGAAGAATAACAACAACGTATATAACACATGTAGACATAGTAGAATGACAACACAACATTGGAGGGGAGAGATGGAAATACACTATTGGGAGGTTCTTATACGATACGAGAAAATTTATTACCACTGGAAGACAGACTGTGTTGAAAGATACATAATATAAATTCTAAAGCAACTACTAAAAGAACAGTTATACATAGCAAATAAGTCAACAAAGGAGATGAGATGAATAAAAATACTCAATTACACACACATAAAATGCAGAAGACAGGACAAAGAGAAAACAAATAAGATGGTATATTTAAACCCAACCATACCAATCTACATGTGCTAACCACTCCAATTAAAAGGCAGGCAGAGATTGAGTTTAATAAAAAGCAAGACCTAATTATATAAGAAATTGAATTTTGTTAGGTGCCTGTGGCTCACACCTATAATCTTAGTTACCTGGGAGGCTGAGATCAGGAGGTTCACTGTTTGAGGTCAGCCTGGGCAAACAGTTTGAGACACTGTTTCCAAAAATTACCAGAGCAAAAAGGACTGGAGTTGTGGCTCAAGCAGTAGAGTGCTCACTTTGCAAGCCTAAACCCCTAAGTTCAAACTCCAGTCTCACTAAAAGGAAAAAAGAAATGACTTCACACACACACACACACACACACACACACACACACACACACACACATTTTGTTCCCTCGTACTGGGGTTTGAACTCTGGGCCTCATGCTTGCTAGGAAGGCGCTCTACCACTTGAGCCATGCCCCAATTCATTATATTTTTTATTATTTTATTTTAATCTAATGGAGATAGTAATTCTAATAACTGAATAACAAGATAGAAACAAAGACAAGAAATAATCGTATTCAGTTCCTTTATTTTGCTACAGATCACTAAGTTATTGGGTTTTCCCCTACTAACCTCCTTAGACTTATTATAGAACTCTTAGGAAATAGGGAATTAAAAAAAATCACATAAAAAAAATCTATTTAAGGGCTGGGGGTGGGCTCAAGTGGTAGTGTGCCCTCCTAAGAAGAATGAAGCCTTGATTTCAAAATCCCAGAACTACCAAAAAAAGGAAATCTACACAAAAGGTAATCAGTGTTTATATTTGTTTTAAGAGCTGCTATATATTATGGCTGTATGGTAATAGCCTAGTTACCTTAGTCTATTTTGTGGTTGTTGATCTAAATAATGGGAATATTAATTACAGGGAGTTACTCTAATGATCTTAAATGTCACTAAAAATTTGGTCATTTTCTCCTAAAAATGTACAGGAGGCTGCAGGATAAACTCCAAACATGTAGATGGTACCCAATCACAAAAATTCTGCTTTAAATATAAATATCCCCTTGATATTCATTAGGCTTTTTGACCTGTATTTCTGCGTAGGTATGCTGTGAGAACCAACCAATAATTCTCTCTCTTTTTCTGTCTGTCTCTCTCTCTCTCTCACTGGAAATCAAACTCAGTGCCTCAGGCATGGCAGGCACATGCTCTACCACCAATTCTCTCATTTAGACAACTTTTACATAATTCTTCTCCTCGCCAGCCCCTTCTTTTAGCCACCTAGTAATTACTTATACACACCTCTTTCATCTGACATAAATATGTATAGGCCTGTGAAGGTTCACCTCTTACACAGCTGTTCTGTCCTCAACATGCTAACATGTTCATCCACAGAGTTATCTTTATACACAGTAAGTACTGAATAAATGGTTGTTGAATTAAAAGGGAAAAAATGAAGAAAATGTGATCAGAATATAAAGGGGTATTCAAAACTAACATGTGTACCTTTTACAATAAATCAAAATACTAAAATCTTGTGAGTCTAAAATATTTATACTTATAAAGTCTGTCAAAATTATCAAAAGATACTGGCAAAGAAAAAAGCAGCATGGTTCTTTCTGGTGAGTACAACATACCTGATTGCCCTTGGGCTATTGAACTGTGGTGTGGTGTGGTATGTGTGTGGCACGTGCCAGCTGTGCCACTTACCTGCTCAGGGCACACAGTATTCATTCCTGGCATCTGCAAAGAGCTCATCTGCATCTGGCCCATCATTGGGCTCATGTTCTGAACGTTTGTGTTTCCCCCTGCCATGGACACAGTGATGCTCATGTTGTTGTACACTCCTGGCTGTGCAGGCGTGGGCTGGTTCTGGATAGCTTGACTGAACACACTGTTAACTCAAAAACAATCCAGATTACATCCACTGATCATGAACATGGGGATAATATTACTGGGTTATGGCTTTAAATTATTAGAATTCCAAATAAAATACTTTACATTCTTTAATTTACAAGTGAGACTATAATTTATCAGTGTTGAATATAATTCAAATATATTTTGAACTCTGCCCAATGGGTTTGATAACTGAAAAAAGCTCATGTTAAGTTACAATTATCTCTTATGAACATAGATAACCTCCTGTCTTTTCTAGCAAAATACAAGGGCAGTTATGTTTTTCAGAGGGCTTATTATTGTTACATCAAAGATCTCAAATGTAAAATCAGTTTGTATTAATAGTTATAATAATATGAAATAAACTCCAACCAAATTCAACTTGAAATTTTATATCTGAATGCTAAAAACTCTTAGTGACACAAACATATACCTCTAAAGGAAAATGCTATAAATTTTGTCTTTCATAAGATCTACAAAATACCAAATATTTTATGATTATAAATCAATTGTTAATTCTAGAGAATTTAGTTCCAAAAATAATTTTCCCCACCACTGCTTATTTATTCCTGATGGCTCCCAAGTGGTGAGCAGGATGTAATGACATTTATAGCTTCCAGTATAATAAGGTACTCATAGTGAATTAATAGGTCAAGAAACAGTCTATTCATCATGTTTGAAGAAAAGTAGCAAATTCTCCCCCAAATTAATTATAAAACACAAGTGCCCACAGAATATTGTATTCCTAGGAAATGGTCAATAATGCATCTGTGGACCTTTACTGTCTGCACAGTGTGTACACTTGTGGGGTAGTGTTCCCATAACTTAAAGTAAGAAAGGAGACTATTAATCTATGCTCATTTTCTAATGAGAACATTTCTGCCTTAGACAAAGCTCATTTGTCAATTGATACATAGCTCATCACTGTGGATTAAGAAGGCTGTGTAAGTTAATGCACAAGGAAGCTTCAAGGACTGCAGTGATGTCATGGTTACTGAAATAAAGTTTAGGGCTTAATTTCCTTTCAACTTTATATTTGAGACTATCTATTAGCTTCAGTTCTTTCAAACTGTTCATTTCAACATTTCCATTTTTGTTTCTTCCATTAAAGGGGAAAGACAGGACCCTTCTGCAGCCTGAATCATTGTCCTATGTCCTAGAAAGAACAGCTGGTCTCACTGGTATTGGGAAGCCCAATGCTCCCAGGACCTCTCCCCTACTCTGCACTCCTGTCTGCCTCATGGAAGTGATCGCTGTTTTCTCAGGGTAGCATCACGTACTTGGCAACCTCAAAACATGGGGAGGAAAGATAAAGATGAAAACTCTGGTTCAGAGTGGTTTCCATAGACATTATAGGTTATTAAAAAGTATAGCGTTGTCCCTGGTCAAGTAAATCAAACAAAAAGGCTAAAACATAGGACTTGGCCTTTAAAATATTTATGAACATTGGGACTCTTCCTTCAAATGAGTACTACACAGAGTCTGGCCCAGTTCCAGGACACACAGGTTTGGTTTCAGTCTTTCCTTCTCTTGCCACTAGACAGATAACGGAATAAAAATCACATTATACTCTAAGTATTCCATCATTTTATTTAATGATTCTCTGATTGTTTTTTATTTTAACTGACTCTACCCTACCCAGCCATCTACTAGACCCTCGATTATTTGGCAGTAGAGCGCTATCAAAACCAAAGTTCACAGAAATTACTGAAATACAACAAAAACTCAGCCACCTTTTAATTTGAATACAAGAAGTGACTTGGGAGTAGGGAGTTTTTATGCTCATTTGTACAATGGATGTATGTGAAGTACTGTGTTCTAGAGGATGGAGACACAAAAATAAACAAGAATAAAGTCCTTGCTCTTAGAATGCTTATACTCTAGTTGGAGGGGACTGACCATAAATAAATTGATCAATACGCACTATTTCAGGTATTAGTCACTATTGGGAAAAAAAAGGATGAAAGGAGAGACCGGCGTGGAAAACAGTATTGTTTTAGAAATGATGGTAGGGAAGTGTGGTAAGGTAACAAGGTGATGTTTAAGGAGAGACTTGAAGAGTGAGAAGAGCAAAGCACATAGCTACTAAGAGAAGAATGTTAAACCAATAGGATTAGAAAATGCAAAGGTCTTGAGTTTGCAATGGACTTGATGCATATGAAGAACAGAAGAATAAACAGAAAGAAGCCAGTGTGGCTGAGCAAATGATGAGAACAGCAGATGAGGTTAGAGAGGTATCCAGGAGCAAGATGATGCAGGGCTTTAGAGGCCCTATTTTGTATTTTAAGTAAGTTGGGGGGCTACTGGACAGTTCTGAGTAAAGGGTTGACATGTTGTCTTATGGTTTAAAAGCACCATTCTGGCAACCATATAGAGATTAAGCCATGGTGGAGCAAGAGTGGAAGGAGGGAGACAGGAGACTATTGCAATGTACAGGAAAAGGTGAGGTGGCTTGCATAACGGTGTGTCAAGTGGAATAGGTAGAAGGGAGAGCTGCTAAGAAGCTGGCATGAGTTGCTGATGTGTTTGATGTGGGATATAAGAGAAAGAAAAAGTTTTCCTTTTCAACAATTAGAAGAACGGAGTTGTCACTTACTGAAATGGGGAAAAGTGGGAGAGGAGCAGGTTTTAGGGAGAATATCACTTTAGTTTTGTCATGTGAGGTCTGAGATGTCTTTATTTAGACTTCTCAGTGGAGATGTTAATTAGGCAGAAGGATATGCAGTATGGTGTTCAGGGGAGTTGTCTGGGCTGGGTATTTAAATTTAGAAATAATAAGCATAGAAACAGACATTCATAGTGGTAAGATTAGATGATATAAACAAGACAGTGAGTAGATACAGGGATGAAGTCCTAGAATGAATTCTGGGGTCCTCAAAGGGAGGTCAAAGAGATGACCTCCCAGCAGGATCATCTCCAGCAAAGAGACTAAGAGGCAGGGGGACAGTCACCTTTCTTAAGATAGAATTGTTCCAGAAATCAAATGAACTATTAAACGCTCAAATATGCTAAATGCTACTCACAAGCACTACATCTGGCATTAAACACCTTGACAAGAACACTTTTAGTGCAGTGGTAAGGATCAAAGTCTGATTGGTTAAAGGAGTGGGTGGATAAAATGTTATTTCAAGGAATTTCAATGTAAAGGAGAGCAGAGAAATAGGCTAGTGAGGCCTAACAGACCATTGTTTTTTCTAAGCGCCATGTGTGTGGGTGTGTGTGTGTGCACACTGCTGGCTAGGGCCTTGTGCATGTTAGATGAGTACTCTACCACTGAGTTGAGCTAGGCCCCAGTCCTTCAAGCCATACTTAAATGCTTATGTGGAGGTATGTGGGAAGAGTTTAGGTAGTTTTTAAGAGAGTTGCAAGGTGTAAGTGCAACAGAAGGAGAGCTGAGCAAAGGAGAGAAGAATGCTTATAAGGGAGTAATTAATGAAGGACCATGGAATCAAAAGTGAGTTTAGGAAACTGGGATTAGAACACAAAAGACTAACTTCCTCTTGTACATTACAAAGATGATTCTATTCTTGCCTAATTTACACATGATCCTCACTGAGAGCAACACAGTTCTTTGGCAAAAAGACTTCCTCTCTCACCTTTCAATGAACTTTAAGAGAATATGGTCTTATGTTTTCAATTATAACTGCCATACTTATTATGTTGTCAGATTAAATGGCTTCCCTGTCATTACAACCAAGACACAACCAAATTAAAATCCTTATAAAACTTAAGTGATATGTGAAAAGTTCAGCAGCCAGAATTTGGAAGAAAATACTTTAGTGAGGTAACTGTAAGAAATGGGTAAGATGAGGCTACTGATAATCTAGATATCCTAAAAGGGGTAAGCCAGAATGACCCAAGAAGACTTAAGACCTTTTGTTGTTGTTGTGAAACCATTTTTACATATTGAGAGGGTACAACCTGTGTGTTTTATTGAATCCTAACATTTTAATAGTCTTGTGTTACATATTTAAGATTTTAAAAATATTCTTATAAAAATTTCTGTAACTGTCTAGAGAAGCTACTACTTCTCTAGACAAGATCCTTCCATTATGCAAATGGCAGTAGCCAGCTACCTTCTACTTGGACTATGAAAATACGATAGGTCCATGGAAGAATGGCTGCTCTTACGTGCTGCAAAGTATTAGGGATGATCACACATTAAAACTGTGCCCTTACTTGTTGTTTCCTATTGCTCCTTGCTGCCAGGCCTTCATGTCTGGTGACTGGTACCCAGAAGTGGGAGGCGTCTGCTGGAGCAGAGAGCTCTGAGGAGGAGGAATTGGCATCGGCACCATGGAGCTCCCAGGGCTTAGAGATGGGGCAAAGTTGGCCTCACCTTGGGGAACCATTCCTGAAAATGGACAAAAATTAATGTGAATTCACTATAAATGTATTAACCCTTCACCAAAAAAAACCCCAAAAGGATCTGTCATAATATATTTAGAAATATCTTCTTCAACAGAGGGAAATTATAGTCTCTTAAAATGAGGCAGGAAATTTTAATATAAACAGGTAGCTAAATAAACACCTAAGTTTGGAAGAATGCTTTCCATTAATTGAGATGTTAATTTGCACAGCAGGACTATGCCTGGCTTTTTTGTTAAGATGAATCTTTAAGTGTAAAAAAAACATGAATACACATTATGGATTATTTGTGTGATAAAAGTAACTTGAAAGGAGAAAAAATTAGGTAAAAAAAAACCTATGTGTAAAAAAGCAAAAACAACTAGATAGCTTTGTTGGGCATTCCTCCTCAGTTTTCTCTGTGGGTCCTTCACACCACCAAATACTCTTTTAAAGCTTTACTAAGACACAATCAACACAACATGAAATTCATTCACTGTTAGCTGCACAGTTGAAAGACTTTTAGTAAACTGTCACAATCCAGTTAGGCATTTCATCACATTCCAAATTCCCTTGTGCCTCTTTGTAGGCAATCCCTATTGATCTGTTGTCTCTATAGATTTGCCTTTTTTGAAATTTCATATGGGTGCCATAGTATATGGTCTTTTGTGTCTGACTTCTTTCACTTAGCATTATATACATAAAAATGGGGGGCAGTACTGGGTTTGAGTTCAGTGCTTCTTGCTTGCTAGACAAGCACTCTACCATGTGAGCTACTCTGCCAATCCTTTTTGCATTGGTTATTTGAAACAGGGTCTTTCTTTATGCCCATGCTGACCAGGATTGCAATGTTCCTGTTTGAGCTTCCCACATAGCTGGAATGACAGGTACACACTATTATATCTTGGCATTGGTTGAGATGGGGTCTCACTGACTTTCTGCCCAGCCTGGCCTCAAACTGCACTCTTCCCAATCTCAGGTGGCTGGGATAACAGCCTTGAGCCTCCACACACCAGCCTTTAGCATAGTTTTGAGGTTCAACTATTTTGTAGTATTTATTAGTAATTCATTCTTTTTCATTTAGAAAAGTGTTTATTAGCAGCCATTGACATAAACTATGTTGAAAAAAATATAAAAAAGTAAGAGTTTATTTCTGGACTTCTTATTCTGTTCCATTGAGCCACACATCTACATTTGTGCCAATGTCATGTGGTCTTAATTACTGCAAATTTATAGGGTAAATTTTTAAACTTAGGTAATTTTGTTCTTCCTTTGCAAGATTGTTTTGACTACTCTAGGTCCTCTGCATTTCCATATACATTTTAGGGTGAAGATGTCAATTTCTCCAAAAGGCATGCTGAAATTCTGATAGGGATTACATTATATCAGATTGATTTGGAGTGAATTACCAGTTTTTCAGTCTTTTTTCTCTTTGATTTAATTTTGAATAGTTTCTATTGTTATATCATCAAGTTCATGAATTTTTTTCTGTAATTTAAAACTGCTATTTATCCAATCTAGTGTGTTTTTCATCTTGGTATCATCCATACCTCTACTTACATGTTCAAACTTTCTTCTAACTTCTTGAACATAAATTTATAGTTTATAATTGCCTTAAAGTTCCCTCTACTAATCCTATAATTATATAATTTCTGTTTTTTTGTTTTGTTTTTTGGTAGTACTGGGGTTTGAATAGAAGGCCTCACACTTGAGCCATGCCTCCAGCTCTGGGTTGGTTTTAGATTAATTTTTTCTTGCTTCTTTGAATACTTTTTTTTTTTTTCTTTTCTTTTTTGGCAGTACTTGGGATTGAACTCAGGTCCTTGCATTTGGTAGGCAAGCACTCTGTCACTTGAGCTACACTCCCAGTCTCCAGTAGTTTTGAAAGTTAGATTTCAGACTGAACTTTCCCTTGTTAGAAACTGGATTTTTTTTTTTTTTAAATTACATTTGATGGCTGGTGGAGTGGCTCAAGTGGTAGAGCACCTGGCTAGCAAGTGTGATGAGCCCCATTACCACTCCCCTCCTTCCCCCCTCCCCTCACCGGCAAAAAAAAAATCACATTTAAAAGATTTGTAGCCTTTGTCTGGTCTATGGTTAGGTTACATGAAAACAGTTTAACTCTTTTGAGTCTTGTGCCTAGTGAGACAAGAATGGGATTTAGGATAGGGCTTATTTTTGTCAACTACTGAAGAATAGCAGTATTCTACTGGAAACCCTATGAAAATGAGACTGGTAGGCAGAGGAAGTGACCTGGGGTGAACTTGGAAGACTGTTCCCACCAATTCTTTCAGGTATTTTTCTTTTGGCCTTGCTTCATGTACAAACACATGTATGCATGTGGAAGGGGAGAGTGGGACCCTTTGCCTGCTTGTCTGTCTGGTGCTCTGTCCCCACTGGTATGGAGCACTTGGACCTTCAGCTACCATGGCTTTCCCAGCCTTCCCTGCTCCACTGCCTGAACCCAGAGAAGCCCCCTGGTTTCCATGCGATCTTCCCTCCCTGCTGCACAGGCTGTCCAATCTCTACAATTGTTGTTTAATGTACTTTGATATTTTGTCTCAAATGGGGAATAAAAATGGTATCTATTATTCCATTTTAGCCAAAAGTAGGCCTTTAAAAATGGGTTTCTTTTATATTTTTGTTATGCTAGCACTCTGTATTCCTATTCCTTTTCCCCAAGAAAATGCACCTCAGTTAAATGCTTTTAAGGCAGAGAAAATTATAAAGAAACAGAAAAAAGAATGCCATCATTTGACTGTGATAATTTGGTATAATCCTTTCAAATCTTCTTCAGAAAATCATGCATAATTTTGACTCACTTCTTTCCTTTGCCATTATATCGAAAGTAAGGTTCTATGTCTGTATGTATTTGTAAACACAATGACATATGTGCCTGTATAATATTCTAGTGCATTCTGTCATGGTTAATATAATGACTTTTCTCTCTTTTAGTCTGGTTAATCTGGCCAAAGATATAGTTGATTTACTCACTAAATTTTTTTTTACAGGCTATACTTCTTAAAACATTTTAAATATTCTGTGAAGTAGTGGTTCATGTTCATTTTCTATGCATTTTTTTCTTTCACTAAGTGTTTATCTACTTTTTTGGGATAAAAATGATATAAATAAGCCTATATATTTTCTCCTTGCTGCCTCCTGTGTGTACTTTAAATTTGGATAAATAATTTTGACTTAGACTATATAGGGAAATTTTTCCTTCATTTATGACTCTCCAGGGTAATTTTTGTCTTTTGACGTTTTCATTTCTATGTGGATTGTCTTTGCATTAATTCTACACTTTAAACTTTATTTTGGTTGTAGTCCTTAAAATACTTGTTTGTACTTAATTTATTTTTAACTTTACTCATGATGAAATGATTTCTTTGAGGAAAAAATATGGATATGAAGGGAGAAAAGTTATTTAGCATACTTTGCATATTATTCTGTAGGGGCCAAAGTTGACCCAAAAAATAAGAGACTCCAAGTTCAAGAACATGCTTTTATATATTTCTCTCTGGTCTCATTTCATCTAACCACCCACATAAGAATGGTCAGTTATCCTTATCAGATAACCTGTTTTTGTTTTGTTTGTTTTTTACTATTGGTCTTTTATTATTTTTTAAGAGGCTTTTAGGGCTCAAGGGGTGGAGTGCCTGCCTAGCAAACACAAAGCCCTGAGCTCAAACTTTAGTACTGCCAAAAAAAAAAAAAAAAAAAAAGCAGCGGGGGGTGGGGCTTTTTAGAGCAATTTTAAGTTTAAAGCAAGACTAAGTGGAAGGTACAGAGATTTCTCACATATCTTCTAACCCCTCAAGTGTATAGCTTCTACCATTCTTGGTATCCCCCACCAGAGTGGGTGGAATGGACATCTGTTACAACTGGTGAGCCTACATGGATACATCATTATAATTCAGAGTCCAGTTTACATATGGTTCAGTCCTTGGGTTGTACCTTCTATGAGTTTGAACCAATGAGTAGTGTCATGTATTTTTCACTACAGTATCACACAGAGTAGTTTCATTGTTCTAAAATGCTGTGTGAGACAATCTAGTTTTAAAAGAAAGAACCAGCTTGTGGATAATTAATTAGAGTTCTGGTCCCACTTGTGCCATTACACTGAACTTTGGATTCCTTGGACCAGATAATGCAGTTTCTTCTGCTTTAGAGAGTCTACATTTCCTTCTTTGCCTAGACTATGTTAATTCTCTCTGATGGACCATAACTAGCATTGTAGTCAGCTGATAGCAGCAACTAGAATCAGAATTCATACTTCTATTTATTTATTTCCTCAAAGATGCATTAAGCATCTACTTACTTCCAGACCACTGTGCTAAGTGCTGGAGAACAAAGAAGGTCACACTTTGCTCATGCAAGGAATTTACTATTTACAAAAAAAGATAGCTAGGTTAACAAGTGATTATACATACAGGGTAGTGAATGTTTATAACTGGAATTATTAGGGAAGGATTCCAAAAGAAGACGTATCTGAGAAGAGGGAGCAATGGAAATGAGACAGGTGAGGAAAAGTATTTTAAACATGAAGCACAAAAATCTAGAAGTAACAGAGAACAAAGAATCTGCTCTTTCTTAGAACATTGAGCTATGAGGGAAAGGGAAGTGGAGTTGATGAATCCAGTTTTGGACAAGTTTGGTAGCTGGTGAACAATACAAGCATGTCTGTCCAGTAATAGCTGTAGACATGAGCTAAAACTAGTATAGAGATAGAGAATGGAGTCATTAGCATGCAGAGGTCCCTGGAGCCCCAGAAGTAAACAATATCACCTGGGGGACTAGGTGGAGTAACATGCCTGTATCGTTCACAGAAGAGGGGCCCCTGAACGGGCTTCAAGGAGCCAATGAGTAGCACAACACTAAAAAAGAATTTTCCTATATTTACTTTAAATATTGCCTTTGTATAAAACAATTCTAAGTGGTTAATTCTGTTCTCATCCATTCATCACGGTATGATAGTTTTGATGTTTTCTGCTTTCAGAAATACAAGGAAAAACACTGCTATTACTATTATTGTTGTATGTGACTATATGTCCTGTAATTTAATTTGGGCCTATATTAAGCTGAAAGATGCAAAAAAAAAAATGACATAAAGCAAAGCTAACGGAGTCATCTTTTGTTTTTACTGTCATCAATTAGCACAAGAATCAGCAAATTTGTTTTGCTGAGGACCAGAAAGTAATTATTTTCAGTATTATAGGCTATAAAGGACTCTGTAACAACTTTTCAACACTACTGTGTGAAACCAGCCATTGATAAACTACTTAAGCGTGTGAGCATAGTAAACTAGTGGACATGGCTATGTGCCAACAAAACTTAATTTATAAAGACAGGTGGGCAAGATTAAGCTCACAGACCTAAGTTTAACCAAATCCTAAGCATGTTAGGACACATATATTTTAGTTCTTTTGTATAGCAAATTCATTGGCTGTAGGAACATAAAAACAACAAAGGTTAAAGAACCCTTAATCTGGATTTCCTTAAGCTACAATAAACTTTTTATGTTTTTTTTTTTTTTTTCCCTGAAAAGGTTGGAATTTTTCTGGAACTTGAATTTGTACCAATTTATAACTTGGTCTTAAAACCCTCTAACCAGATGATCATGTTGGAGCAAATTTATAATTTAAAGTAGTAGAACACATAAAAATAATCCTTAAATGTTATTATTCTCTCCAGAAAAAAAAAATACTTCTTTTTTCTTTTTTCTTGGCAAGAACTGAGCCTGAAGCCTGAACTTCCTTACATCACCCCCAGCATCTTTTCTCTTCAGCCTCAACATCGTAAACAGAAGCTCAGGAGGTGAGACCTGTGCCTGCAGGTACATTACAACAGGTGTGTTACTTAGAAAAGCCGTAGGCTTGTGCCCCCATACCTGATCCTGGATACTGGAAGACATTCTGCTGCATCTGAGGACTGATTCCAGTGCCAAACTGTCCTCCCATGTTTCCTGCCATTCCTCTGTTCACCATGCTGTTGCGGGTGGCCAATGAAGCTTCAGGATTTGCTGCCAGTTGAGAAAACGGGCTGGTAGAAGCAGGTGGGGTTGCTGGATTTGTACCATAGTTTGGTGGGTAGGGGAACTGCTGTGGAGCACCCTGAGGAAGACGGGGGTTCCCCATTTGAACTGGCAGTCCAGATGAGGGAGGGAGGTTGTTCCCAAAGCTTTGCTGCCTCATGAGCATGGCTCTTTGCTGCTGTATTAGCTGCCTCTGTCGGTGCTGTTGGCTGTATAACTCCCGCTGACGCTGTGCCAACATTTGGGCATTCAGGGGTGGCTACAAGAAAGGAAAAAACCCTCACTTACTAAAATCATTATAATCACTACCTATTCTGGAAAGCTCATAGGATAAATCCTGGTAGGTTGGGGGCAATAAAATATGTAGCAATTATTAGTGTGCAAAGAAAACTACAAGAGAAAAGGAACAAAAACTTCTTAAGTAATAACAAAAGGACAGAAAATGAATTAAGGACACCTTCTGAGTTAAAATTAGTTGAGAAATGCGGGGACATTTGCCTGTTACAGCTGCTTAAACGCAAATTCCAAATTAAAAGTCATAAAGAACCGAGAAAAGTCAAAGAAAGTATATATTAATTAGTTTTCTAAAACAGGAAAAGAAACCTGTTAACAGAAACATGCAAACTGCAGGGGAGTGAAAGAAAATGTGTTTGATGATGTCTATCCAACAGACTGTTAGGAGACTTTTATTTCTAAAAATTTTACTATACTTCTAGTATGGAGAAATTTACTTTTTCCTTTTTCTCACTGAGATTTAAGTAAATAAAATGTGATTATAACTGATTTTGATTTTCTTCATTATACTTTCCTAAATTTTTCAAATTGTCTATGATAAATTTATGTGATCTTTACAATCAGAAAAACTTTTGAACACAGTTTTAGAAAAGGAAGATCCAGAAATCCAGGATCCACTGCCTAACAAATTATCACTTCAAATGAAAATAATTAACTAGAAGTAAAATAGTAAACCAAGGTAACTAGAAGTAGCTATGTGATATCATTATGCAGTGGAAGAATGCTCCAGGTTAGTGCAAGTAGTCTAGTAACTACAGCACTGTGGAGGAAAGCAGTGGTAGATTATATTGACATCACTTTTAGTTGGGATGCAAAGCAACAGGGCATCCTTAAGAAGATGCCAATTCAGACTGAGGCTCTGATTAATAGCTCCATTAAAATTAAATTTGCCAGTTGGTATAGTCCAATATGGAAGAACTAAAATATGGCTTTCTCACAGAAATTATCATTATACGTTATGTAAATTCCAAAAGTGGGGTCTCGTTTCCTCACAAACCAGTTACCCTAAATGTACCATAACACTGAGGTACACTATTTGTAAGATAAAGAACCTAAATCTGGACCAACGAAGACACAAATATCTGCTGCTCACTAATGACCTCTGTCAACATTATCCTGTATTTGCTCCAAATCCAAATTTTTACATCAACTTGGTAGTAGGAATTGAGTACTAGATACCATTCAGAAAGCCATTCAGGTTTTTTTTTGAGACAGTGCCTTGCTATATAGCCCAGGCTGACCTCAAACTTACTATGAAGCCTCAAATCTGTGACCCACCTGCTTCAGCCTCCTGAGAGCTGGATTACAGATTTGTATCACTATGCGTGCTCCATCCAGTTCTTTTAAGTGTAAAGTTCAAATTTCTCTGGGTTTATAAACAAAAACCTTTAAAATAAATAAAAGCTAGAAAATGCCAATGTACAGACTAAGCAGAATGTACAAGAAAGTTAAAAGAGCTTAGCAATGTGACCAGATTTTTTTGTTTTTAGTTTCAGTCTCAGTTTCACAGCTTTGTGTCAGAGGCTTCTTACTACTGGTGCTATTCAGAATAGCAATCAGAGTTTTCTAGCTGGCCATTTGGTATCCCATAATAGTGACAACAATGGAAATAAAATACAACACAGAACCTTTGGTTTTAGATCAAATACAAGTAAGAGGTATCATGAGTAGCTTATTAATTCCTTCTAGAAGAAAACTTCCTTACAAACATCATTGAAAGATCAGACCACGGGCCATTCAGAGACACTCAAGCCAACACTTTAAGAATCACTGCTTGGGTTGAGAAGCTCTGCCGAGGCCTGGCTTCCTCACCTTACCTGAGGTGTGATTTGCTGCTGCATGCTTGATCTCATATTGATGCCAACAGGAGCAGTTGCTGCAAACTGGTTCAAGATAGCTTGCCGGTTTTGGTGTATCAACTAAGAAAAATGGAAACCAGGAGAGAGCTTATTCCTACACATAAATATAGCATGGCCTTATAAAGCAACACAAACTTTTTACTGATTACTAAAAAGTTTTAGTGTTGCAGATTTGTCATAGTTCCTATGTTTATTAAGCAAAACGCTAATGATTCCCAGTATTTATCAAGTATTTACTGCCTTCAGAACATTAAATATGACAGAGCATTTAAAAGTCAAATATACACATGAACATATATGTATGTTTATAAATACACTATGAATTTTGTGTACTTTTTAAATCATGTTAATAGTTATTTCCTATAAATACACTAATGGAGGAAAATAAATATCTGCCTTAGCTCTTAAAATATTGTGAATAAAAAATGTAAGTATAAAATAAGGGCACATTCTGCAAAGACTGGGAAGATAAATGGAAAGTTGAAGTACTTGGAGGGTATTCCCACTTGGAGGCATTATGTCTAGTGGGTACATGTTTGGGGAAAATCCAACATGATATCATTAGCCAGAGAAAATTATGTAAGAAACAAATGGTCTTAGGAAATGGATTATTTATTTAGCTAGAAGTAATTACTTTAGAGCAGCATTTCCCAAATTGGTGTTCTAAAGAGCATTGTTCTTTAGGATATTAATAGATGTGCCAGGAAAACAGCACGCTGTGCTGTATGAAGTATTGGAAATAATGGGTTACACAAGGTGAAACAGATTCATACACTGCAGTAAAATCTGACAGCCAGAGCACACTGTGCATCTTCAAGAGAGATTTATCTTAAACCCGTTTTATTCTGATTTATAAATACCAACATCTGTTTCCCAGAAAAAGCTTCTGTGGAACGCTGCTTTTGGAAGCTCAGTTGAGATCAGGCTAGGATTCTAGGTCATAGGTATGACTTAACTTTATCTGGTAACAAAAGAAGTACACTTGGAAGTAAGATTTACTTATGAATAACCTATCGCTTAAAAATTTCTTCCTCAATAATTTGATAAGAATAATCTGTTTGGAAAGATAATAGTTAACAATAATATAAATACTGCTGTTACTATTATTATTATTATTATTCACTGTGCTGGGACTGAATCTAGAGCCTTGCACATGCTATGTAAGTACTCTACAACTGAGCTCTAACAAGGTCTCCCTATGCTGCCTAGGTTGGTCTCGAATTCCTTGGGCTCAAGTGAGTCTCCTGCAAAGCTACAGATATAGGCATGTGCTACTGAGACCAGCTCTACACTTGTTTACATCTATATGTCTACATAGTACTTTATAACTTATAAATTATATAAATATACTGATACATTTATTATACTATCTGTAAAGCATAAAGCCTATGGAAATTTTATAAAAGAATCCAGGCAGGTGTGGTGGTGTATAGCACATGGAAGGGAGGCAGGAGGATCTCCAGTTGGAGGCCAGACAAGGCTACATAGTTGAGACTGGATTTGCTCTATCTATCTATCTATCTGCAGTATTGGGGGTTGAATGAGTCTGTCTCAAAAAAAAAAAAGATCATGTTTGTTTTTGTGTATATGTATTTCTTGGATCTATCTTCCACATATGAGAGAAAATGTGTGTCTTTTGTGTTTCTGATCCTGGCTAACTTCACTTAACATGGATGTCCTTCAATTGCATCCATTTATCTTCAAACCTCATGTCATTATTCCTTGTGGCTGAGTAACACTCTACTGTGTATATACACTATAATTTCATGATCCATTCATCAGTTATAGGGCATCTGAGTTGTTTCCAGAGCTTAGCTATTGTGAATAGTGCTGTGATGAACATCAGTGTACAGGTGTCTCTACTGTATCCTGCTGTACGTTCTTTTGGGTAGATGCCAGGAGTGATAACACTGGATAGTATGGCAGTTCTATCTCTAGTTTTTTGAGGAATCTTCATGCTGTTTTCCATAATGGTTGTACTAATTTGCATTCCCACCAGCAGTGTATAAGGGTTCCTGTTTCTCCATATCATCACCAGCATTTGTTGTTATTACCATTGATTCTGGCCATTCTAACTGGCGTGAGATGAAATCTAAGTGTTGTTTTGATTTGCAGCTCTTTTGATTTGCAGCTCTTTTATAACCAGGGAATTTGAACACTTCTTCATGTATTTACTGGCCATTTGTACCTCTTCCTTTGAGAATTCCCAATTTAACTCATTAGACCAGAGCTCCTGCACAGCAAAAGAAACAATCAAAAGACTCAAGAGACAGCCCACAGTATGGGAGAAAATCTTTGCCAGTTACTCATCCAACAAGGGTCTAATATCCAGAATCTACAGGGTTCTCAAAAAACTCAGCCCCCGAAGAATCAACACGCCAATGAAGAAATGGGCACATGAATAAAATACAGAATTCTTAAAGGAAGAGGTACAAATGGCCAGTAAATACATGAAGAAGTATTCAAATTCCCTGGTTAAATAAGAGATGCAAATCAAAACAACACTTAGATTTCATCTCACACCAATCAGAATGGCCAGAATCAAGAGTAATAACAACAACATATACACAAAACCAAATGTGATCATATACAAACTCAGTTGCAGAACATGTTTGTAACTACTCTACAGAACTCAGGAAAGAGAGAAAGGAAAAGAGAATGATAGAGCAACAGTAATATAGAATACCACAAGATGTGAAGGTAGAGGATATAAGAATATGTACTGAAAGATGTTGAAAACGGTGTGGGAGGTGGGAGGTAAAGGGGTAAGGGAGAGTATTCTAAGGGATTGAAATTGATACTTTACCAAAGTAAAGTGCACCCACAGAGGGCATACATTGAGACACCCCTCTGAATGGCAACTCAAATATTAATTACAGAAACCAGGACTAAAAAATAGACACAGTGTGTGCGGGGCGGGGGTACTAGAGGGAAGGGGGAAGGTGAACTAAGGAGATTAAGGTGACGGTATATGGTAGACGCACTTCATGTACCTATATGAAACAGAACTACAAAACCTATTGTAATTGCCTTAAGTAGGGTGGGGAGGGGGTGGAGGGGGACAGATGATGAGGGAAATGTACAATATAAGTCTAATCGGAATTGTCACTATGAAACTCCCTCCATCACGAATCTATCCTGATAGAAATTTATTTAAAAAAAAAAGAATCCAAAGAGCTATGAACAGAGATTAAGTTTTTCATTGCCAAATATATCAGAAATCAAAATTACTCTGGGAAAAGCTCATGCAATGCAAATATTAACATTATATTGTTGTATAATATTGCTCTCAGACAATTGTGCAATAGGATAAAACATTCACAATCACTTCAAAACTAAAAATGCCCACCAAAAAAGTTAAAGGACTCTTAAGTACCAAAATCTATACCCTTCCTAAGTTCAAAAGACCATGGATATAAATTTAAATGAACCAGGTTAATTTTATGAAGATTTATTGAAAAACTCAGTATATACTCCAAAATGTTTACAGTTTGGAGGCTATAAAGCAAATTGCTGTCATTTGGGAATTCCCAGTTAAGTGGCAGAGACCCACACTAAACACTTCAGGGAACAAATACAGTATCTGTAGTGTGGAGACATCTACACAGTCTAGGGACATGAAGGCATGAGTTAGCTCAATGGATTCTTGAGGTATCAGTGTTAGGCTGCAAGAAGGGCAGCAGAGTTAACCTGAGGCAGAACGAAAGAAAGTATAAAAATGAGAGAGAAGGCAATGAAGACAGGTCAAAATATAATAGCACAAAGTGATGAAGAGAAGTAAATTGCAGAGGGAGTACAAGTAGACTCCAAACTTTTAACTTTACATATTGTCTGCATTGTGAGAATGAAGTAAGGAAGAAGGAAAGATGCTTGAGAAGGGATATTGTTTTAGAAGTAGAAGGGGTTATCCTAACTAACAGAAATCTATGCATGCTTTTTGTTACACAAAACTTGGCTTACTTCTATCCTTGAAACAACCCTTGCCCATTTTCTCTTCCCCTTGATTACATGAGTAACCTGATTAACAGTGTGTACCTCTGTCCTACTCTAACCTGCCTCTACTGTGTTATTACAAAAATTCTGCCTATTTTCCAACCAGAAAGTCCAGTTCTACTTCTTCCAATGAAGTGGTCCCAAGAGGATCACTACAACTCTTACTTCTTTGGAAATCTTGGCTTTTGGTTGATTGGGGAGGGGAAAGAGAGAAGTTGGTAGTCCTAAGAGGTGGGGACATATATTCAAAAGCCTATAAAGGCCAGGTCAAAAGCCTTGTTGAAAATAAACAATAGACTTTGGATTCCAAGATGGCAGCTAGAAGGAGGAAGCAGAAAGCGAGCCTCCTATAGTGAAAGCTTGGAGAGACATTGGAGACACACCTTGCAGGCAAAACCACCGAGAGGAGGCAAAAGTTTGACCCCTCCACACCTTCAGCTGGCACAGAGCATCTCCACTTCATGTTAAATGGAGAAACCAGGAGGGCCCCCGGGCCACCAGTCACCTTTGCCCAGATGGCTTGGGAAGACCCGGACAAGGTGAGCTTAGTGGTACCACGGTACTCCCACAGACAACCCTGGGCCAGAGCAGCATAGGCCCCTGGACAGACCGACCTCCACCCGGGAGGAAAAAGAGAAACTGAGTAATAAGCAATAAGAACAATAAAGACACGCAGGAAAGAGGGTGGGGTGCCCTGATCGCCGAAGATTGGGGGAAGGGAACCCTTCCCGGAACTGTAAATAAACAAGCCAGGGGGGCAGGAGAGGCTCCGGCGGGAGCGGGGGCGCGCACCCAGCAACCAGGATCAGGAAAGCTCATGAGAGTGGCGGAGGGAGGAAAACTCCACAGGAGAGAGGGGAAGACCCACCTCCCACGTGAGCTGTAAACAAAGATGGTGGCTGGCAGGAGCAGCAGCACTGCCCAGTAATCAGGAGCAGGAAAGCTTGTAAAAGTAGTGGTGGGAGGAAAACTCCACAGGAGAGAGGGGAAGACCCACTTCCCACATGAGCTGTAAACAAACATGCAGGCCTGAGAAAATGGGTGCAGTGTCACCTCCCACAGTGTGC